GTCTGCCTCACGGACTAAATGTCTGATGTTAATACTGTTACATTTTAAAGGCCATTCTTAAAACTTTTTTACTTTATTTATTTTGTACTTATTAAGGGCGTTTTGCTTTGTTTCTCTTTTCCATCATGTTTATTTTCTGTAGAGGAGTATGGAGACCTTGTGAGTTCTAAAGAGCTGTATGGATAAAAGTTGACTGGTTAAAGGTTCAGATTTAGTCTAATGCTGTTGCTTGATTATTATACCTTTGATAGAAATATAATAATGAATTTATAAACTGCAGTAAAGTTGTAGCCTCTTAACCGATGAGGTTTAACTGGTTGAATTTGGTGCTGTTAGCGTTCAATCATTGAGTTTTACTGATATAATGAACTTGTCTACTTTGCAGTAATGTCTGGTTTGACCAGCTATGCGGTGCGCATGGCGAGGCTGAGCTCCAGGATCTTTGGAGAAGTCGTACGTCCGACTGACACCAAATCAATGAAGGTGGTCCAGCTGTTCCAGGAGCCCCCACTGGCCAGAAGGAAGGAGGTGTACGAATGGTATCCTCATCACAAGGTTTACTACGCCATGACCCAGAAGCTCAGGTTCATGGGATTGTTCAGGTATTGCTCAGCATCATCCCTTCTTTACTTTAGTATATGTTGATGGATCTAATGATTTTAGATTGTTAGAAAATGTCCTACAACTGGAAAATTAACCAGAATTGATCTCCTTAGTCACCTAGGATGGAGGTAGCATTACCTCATTTCTTTCCATCATCAATGTCTTCATCAGGTTCTTCTCTTTTCATACCTAGAGCTGCTCGGGGGCCCAAATTGTCTATTTACGCCGCTTCTATGAGAATCACATCTTTTCTGGGGGTTCCATGTATCATTCCCTGTATTTACTTTTTTCATATTTCCTTTGACAAACTAAATTAGTTGAAAGTAGAAAACAATCATCCTCAACAGTGTAGGCGATTCTGCATTGTAGGATGATTGTGATTAAAATCAGTTAGGTGTTTCTATAAAGATCAGAGGACATGGAATGATTTTGGACAAAAAGAACTCCAGCTGTTTTACTTTTAGAAATTGGACGGTTCTGGCTAACAAAGTTCATGTAATGTTGGTGATTGACCAAGCTGAAAGAGGCTAATCTGTTAGCTGCTCTGTACAGCTAGCCAAGGCGCTACCCAGGTCTGATCTTTATACTTTTGGTGTTACTTAGTTCACCACAAATCTGATCAAACTTAAATTGTTAGCCACACTGAAGCTTCTATCCCGCTGTGATTAGCGGGTTTTCAAAGATGGGTCGACTCGCTAACAGTCGGCATTTGGCTCCCTTCCCGTTGACAAAAAGATCTGGGTCTGACCCGCTGCTTGGGCCCCCCCACTGCTCCATGTGTTATGACAATGCTGGGTTAGCGTTGATGATGTCACCAGTGTGACAGAAATCAGAAGAGATTCCAAAAAG